CACACATATTGCTAACATTATGTTCCTTCACCACGAGAAATGTGATTACCGGATGAAAGCTTCAAGTGAATTTCCATTCACCTGCTGTTCGGTGCAGGAAAAACGGTTTTATGACTTGTTTACTCGCGTCATTGTGGTGTAGGACACATTCATGAATAGCTGAGACACCAATTGGGAATTTAGCATTGTTGGATTTCAAGGCATTACAGTGCATCCTTCTTATTTAACCTACCAGTCATCTTTAATATTGGTGGGATGCTGCAGCTCAATGCAAAAGGTGAATCCATTGTGTACAACTGTAAAATAGAAAATTTCTTCTCCTGCTTTGTTCCAAACTTCTCTGTCTCTGTCACTTTTCCCCTCAGCTCTTTGTGGAGGTTATGTTTTTGGTAAAACCGGGACTATTCTGTCTCCTGGCTTTCCTGACTTCTACCCCAATTCTCTGAATTGCACCTGGACAATAGAGGTGTCTCATGGGAAAGGTAAGATCACTCGCACAAAAAAAAAAGACATTATAACACCAATTCTCGCCTGAAAAATGTTATTCTCATTTATTTCTTCACAGGGTAACAAATGTGCCAATAAACATGTAAATTTGCTCACTGTGCAAAGGTTCTAGACGCTAGCCTTTAGTTTTTAAACAACACAAATTCTCCTGCACAGTTTTTCGACAAACAGATAACGTCTTCTTTCAGATAAGTCACCAAAACCATTGTCTTCTGCCCCCCTAATGTAATCCCGGACTCACTCAGTGATGCTGAGATCAGGGCACTGTGGGAGCTCCTTGATTTTCTTTTCGCTGCAGATAGTTTCTTTATGACTCAGACGTGACGCTGAATTATTTTGGACTCGTCAAATGGTGTTGCGTAATGAACAACAATCTAAACATCTAAAGTGTCTCAGACCTTTGTGCGGTGCCGCCTGAAATTTCGGGTTTGTTTCTGCTTTGACGTCTGTGTTCATCTGCTGCTATTTGCGTATCTGTGACTAACCCTCTGCCTTCTACCGCATGTCTATCCATCCATTCATGCGTTCATCTGTCCGTTCATCCGTCCCGCCGTCCATTCATGCAGGAGTCCATCTGGTTTTCCACACGTTCCATCTGGAGGAGAACCACGACTACCTGTCCATCACCGAGGACGGCAATTTCCTGGTTCCAGTGGCCCGACTCACCGGCTCAGTGCTGCCCCCCAGTGTAAAGGCCGGACTCTTTGGCAACTTCAGCGCTCAGCTACGATTCATATCGGATTTTTCCATGAGTTACGAAGGATTTAATATTACTTTCTCAGGTGAGAACGCCAAAACAGAAGTTGCGTTTTTAGCAAACACAGGGAAAGTTTTCTGCCCACTACATTCATGTTTAATCCACTTTTCTAGGTAGACATAGGCCCTTATCTTTCTGATCTAGACCGACAGACTGAACAGATATCATAAACCGGAGGAATGGCCGTGTTACATGCTCGTTAGTTCTTGTGTGCACACATGGCACATTATCCTGTCTTACAAATGTTGAGAGCAATAAGCTAACAGTGAAGGTGATTAAAAACATAGCATGAAACAGAAAGGCACTTTGCCAACCTGTAAGTTTTAAAACCTAATTATATGCCTTTTTAAGCTGATTACTGTTATGATCATTGTCATAGACCTACTATAAAACCTAAAAAAGCATTAAGATACTGCACTCGTCGCCTAATTTGAAACTGTCTCATTCACTGCATGAGTGAGAAGGTCCCATAAAAGAAGCTCAGGGAAGCTGCTATGCACTTCTCTTTAATGGCGGCAGGATAGTTAGCCAGATGTACATTTGCCAAGCTCACAAGTGAGTCTTTTCTTTTGTGAAACTCTAAAATACTTGTCGCACTTGTCGAAGGGAGTTTTCCTTAAGCGAGCCAAAGGGGATTTTTAAGCTTAATCAAAACTTACTGGTTGGTTTTGCAAATATGCATCTGGTTAACCTCCAATAAAAGAAGCTTCCCTGAGCTTTTCCATGAAAACTGTGCGACTGTTTCCCATGTTCACAGAGCCAGCTACAAGTGACCAGGGCATCCCCAAGCATGACGGGCTAATAGCAGCAAGTCCCCCGAACTGGAGTTTGTCCTGGAATGATCATTAGTGTTACGACACAATGAAAGTTATACCCCCTAGTTATAGTAATGCAACGTATTTCTGAGTGAAATGGAAAGTGTGAACAGGGCCTTACTTCCTAGAGGGATCTAAATCAAATCCTTTAGATATGATTCCATTTCCAAAAGTGAGGTAAGCAAATACAGTGACACAGTACGGAGCTGAAGAGGGCTGTGGAGTTCAAAAGCTGCCGAGGACGAGCTCTCAGCCTCCACCCACAACTCCACCGTGTGTTTTGTTAGACCAGGAGGAAGATAACAGTTAAAAAATAAAAATAATTCTTTGTTTTCACGTGTTGAAATCCAGCTGAAATCCAGAAACACACGCCTCCTTCTATGATAATGTTTCGTCCTAGTTTGTGCCCTTTATGTATATTTTTGGGTCATGGAGCAAATTTTTTTCCAACATTAAGTTTAATCTTGATGTGTGTTAAATCATGTTTGTTCTGAAGGTGTCTCTAGAATCCTTAAAGACTCGTCTAACCAAACGGATGAAAGGTTTAAATCTAAAACCTCGTGGTTTGCGTGACAGACACACACAAAGCCATGTCATCACCTGTTTGTGTGCATCTTTACTACTTGTGGTTTACTATTGTTTAAATAGTCCACGTGAATTCTTGACAATGATTCCCACCTTATTTAAAGCACGGCCCATCTGGAGCTGGTGTTTGTGTGCAGACACGCCCCTCTCAGTGGGTCAGAGAGACTAAACAATGTAAATGGTGCAGGGAAAATAATATTTAAATAGAATATGTTCTTGTTTCTTCTTGTTTAGCATTCTTAGCATTTGAATTAATGATCTAATTTGATGAATCAGTATTTAATTCATCATGTTTATATGTTGGATTTAGCTTAACTGCATACAATTACATGGTATTGTTAAATTTAATGTTAATTCTTTTCTTTGTGTGTTGGCTAGCTCGACATTCACACAGTTTTTTTGGACACTTCTTCCCCTCATAGTGACTCATTTTTCTTCTCTCTCCTGGCCACACAGAGTACGACTTAGAGCCCTGTGAGGATCCTGGCGTACCAGCGTTCAGCAGGAGGATGGGATTTAGGTTTCGAGTTGGTGACTCCCTGGCCTTCTCTTGTTTCCACGGCTACCGACTTGAAGGAGACAGCAAGATCACCTGTCTGGGAGGAGGCCGGCGAGTCTGGAGCAACACGCTACCACGATGCATAGGTAAGACAGTCAAAGAGGCCAGACGGGCTGACTAGTAGCTACATCAGTGAGCATGCAGGTGTATATATTCAGACTTTCAGACAACTTTCTTTTTACATTACTGTCTTTACTCCACATTATAGAGCAACACTCTAACAAACCACATTTTTCTTGGCTTCGGTATCATAGCATTAGTCGATTACATCTTCTGTGAAAATAAATGGTAAAAATCTAATTTTCAAATAAACTTCTTTATCAGAATAAGCCGAGAGGTAAAGCATCAGCGTTTTCCTGGTTGTAATTCACCAGGATTTTTATCGCCAGCGGAATAGTAATTTATAGTTATTCGACTGGTTGACTGTTGGTTTTATTTGCCAGGATTTGGCTGTTAGCAGGTTGTAATTTTCTGGTATTTGATGCGTATCAGTGTTTCCTTGGAAGCTGCTCGTAATTTATGAGAGTCCGACTGGTGGCTGCTGGTAATTTTCAAGCCCCAGAAAGAGCAGACTGAAAATGCTATAATAGCATTATCTGTCAAGAGATCAGGCCTGACTAAGAGGAAACTGAGCAACAGCAGCTGGCAACGTACATTGGGTTCATCTCTCTCCCTCTTTTTTTTTCCTTTCTAAATGTCCCTCGCTCTCTTTCTAACTTTCTAGCTATTTCTCCTCCTCTCCCTCTGTATTTAGACAGTCCTTGGGTAGATAATTAGTGCATTAGCTGCTATATGAAAAGTGTTATAACTGTGTCTTTTGTTACTCCCCTTTTCCCTTTTCTAATTTCTCTCTGCACATTTTCAAAAGGCTCTTGTCTGTCTTGGTTCATCTGATATCTTTTCTTCCTCTTCCAGCTCTCTCTCTTCTCTCCTTCCTTCTCCCTCTCCACTCTCCACTCTATTCTCTCTCACTCCCACTCTATGGTACTGTTTTCACTTTAAAAAAGAATATCTGAAGAATGGCTGGTTGCATCCTTGAATTTATGCTCCCTATCTCCTACCTTAATCTGCTTTCGACACCGCGGAGCATTTACGGAAGTGTTGTTGTAAATTCCACATTTGTTCAGATTTGATAAACACGGCGTCTTTTCCTGTGTTTCGTATTGTTCCACGCTACCTTTTTTTTTCTCCCTCTTGTCTGTCTCATTACTTCCATTTCCTCTGTCTGCCTTCGATGTGGCGGTGGTCCTTCTCAATGGGAGTTAAAAGCCTGCTCGGCTCTCTTATTTTTCTCCTCTCTTCATTTACATATGACAAAATTCCACTTATTTGAATTCCTAAACTTTGATAGGCACTGCACCTGCTAGATAATTCTGTATAATTTCGATGAAACACTTTTTTTTTTCGAACAAACTAATCCAGATCTGCTTTTATACAAACTTTTTCATTTTGCCCTCTTTTTTTTAATCTTGTGTAGTTTAATTGCTTTGAATGTATGCTTGCTGTTGTTCCTTATCCTTGTTTTTATTGTCGTATTTGAAGCACGTTTCAAACAAATGATTTTCAAGCTACATTATAGGACTCATTATTACATCAGCAGATATTTTAACAATATAATCATATTTCTTTTTGTACTCGATATGCACTTTACTGCAATCTCCATTTTTCATATATTATTGTGAGTCCTCTCCTGAGTTCTTTTTTTTATTTTTTTCTTTCCCCTGCACAACAAGCCCACCATCAGATATCCAGCCTGCTCAGAATAATTAGATAGAATTGCTGTGATTTTCATCCACACTTTCCCTCTCCCCTTTACATCCTCGCTGTAGCCGAGTGCGGCGCCTCCTCGCTAGGACCGGAAGGCGTTCTCCTTTCTCCAAATTTCCCCTCCAACTACGATAACAACCATGAGTGCATCTACCGCATCACTACTGAAAAGGGCAAAGGAATCAGGCTGAAAGCTGAGAGCTTCTCTTTGCAAGATGGAGACTATCTCAAGGTATGCATGCACGCACACACACACACACGGTCGCACACGTAGACTAACATGACAAGCTCTCCCCAATCAGGTGGAAAATCCATAAATGCATAATTTATGTGTGGGTTCACTCACACACACACACACGCACAATGCACACACAATGAACGTGCGGGATTATGCTATTAAAAGCTGTCTATATGCAAAGCTGTATATATTTTGACACTCATATGCTTGAAGAGATTATTACGTGATAGGTTTGCTTATGCTTGAAAGGGAAACAATAATTGAGTTGTGGAAGCTGACACAATCCTGAGCGCACTTAAATTATGTGCCAAAATAAATAAACTACAAGTATTTACTGTAGTGCTCACGCCAGAGCAGAAACGTACATGATTATAGATTACTTACTATCATTTGCTTAGACACACATGTCTCTCATTGATTTTTCAGGCCTTGCCACTCATGTTATGTACAAAACCTTGCCTGCTTTTTTTTTTTGTTTGTTTTACTTGAAAATAATTGACCATCCAGGCTTCAAATAATAATTCAAGATAGGTTGCAAAATGTATAGATCCCACTGCACTTTCTTGAAGCATGTAATGTTATATGACAGCTCTTGTTAGGATATAAATATTTAGGATTTGTTTATTCATAGATTTTATGATGAAATGTACCCTCACGCAGGCACGCCATATATGTATGTATAATTGCACTTTATGATTAAAATTGCACTCGTTTGCAATCGAGGCACCAACAAATATAAAGCTCGTAAATTAATTACTGATACTTCAGATTGAATATTAATAATTTATCAAATCTGCTTGCATTGGACAGTCTTATAATCAAAAGTCTCCCTTTTTATTGACCCCCTAGAGCTGACGATAATACACAGAACATTTATTAACTATTACTAGAGACAAACAGTCAAACAGCAACAGCGAAACAACCGACAGTGAATGAATGAATGTGAGTGAACTAATTAATTAATAGTGATCGTAACTGGAAGCAGTTGGTGATCAATTCAGAACTACTTTGGAATTGAGAAGCCAACTATAATTTCTAAATTCACCCGTTTAGCAGAAAGAAACTGATACTCGCGTGGCCTTTGTAGGAGGGAGAGGAAGGCCGCTGCAGGATGTGTCGCTGTGATGATCTGCTGGATGAGTTGGTTCAGGGACACGGGTCGGCGCGTTTGAAAAAGTGTGCTGAAGTAAAAATGCTAAGAGTCAAATCTCTTGTTTTAAAGAAAACGTTTGTGTCATTGTGCAGCGAAAGGAGGTAAAATGTCATCATGAAAGAAAAAAAGAAATCAAGTAACAAGTCTAAATAAAACAGTTTTTAAAAAGCCCAGTAACATAGTTAAAGGAAACCCAGCGTGCATTCAAGTGACAGAAAGTTTTGGAGCCAGATTCAAATCAAACCAATCATGGATGTGTTCATCCTAACGGGTCGGTTTGAGCTTCACTGTCCAGAGGCCAAATAGTGCACTGAGTTCATTACTTAAACATAAAATACAATTGCTAAATATCTATTATGATCACAAATCTGAAATACCACTAAACAGGTGATATCAAACGCGATATGTTTATCTCATACGGGCTGTGACAGAGGCAGAAGTGTTTGTGTATCAAGTGTGTTCTTCGATACCGGTCCTGGTATTAAAGATTGAGTCCAGATTTGGGATCATCACTCCAGCGATGTTGGATTCCCTTAATTTTCGGATTTAAATCGTTCAGTTAATTGCTGTAGAGAAGGTTCTGAGAGTTAGAGGAAGAGAAGGATCAGGAGGGCGCAGTGAAGAAGGTAATCTCCTTCTTCTCACAAGTGACACTTTATGACTATCATCCGGTTCTTGGGGAGCTAGGAGACGTCCTGTTGTCTCCAAGAGGGCCGTGAGTGGTCATTTTGATGGAAACATCCGACTTACGTGTTCCAGTTGAGTGAAAATTTTGTGTTAATTGTCTTCTGAAATGGTCTCCTACAAAATTTACAGCTGTGAGAAACGGTGTCTGGATTCTGGAACATGCCTGTTGTTCTGCCCCTTGGTGCGCAACAATATCAAAGAGTATGGATCGTAAACCCAACAGGAAGCTGCTTTTATGTTTACATCTAATCACAGTTAACGATCAATTATGTAATAAGAAATATAAAAATTTGAAACCTTAACTTGACTTGTGAATGCGTTTCCAGTTCACACAAGCCGCTCCATCGCAAGTTCATTCGCTCATCAAGAAGTTTTGTATGACACTGCAACAAGTTTAAAGTGAACAAAAAATGCTATGGCGGTGTCTATACTTTGATTCCTTCATTGTGTTCGACACAAAAGCGAATGACAGCCTTGAAGAGGAATCTCACCTCTACACATTTCATGTCAGTGTATTCAGCAGTCATTGTTGTGTCGCATTGTGGAGCACAAAGTTTTTCAATGCGGTCTTCAAAGCCTGAGCATACTGAGAGGTTCTGATCCATCTGTGCACACCTGGTCTAATTAAGGTGTCAGGCAATGTGTATCCTTTAATTATATGAGGTGTGTAAGAACAAGGCAGGAGGAAAAGCGTGAACAACAGGGGGGGGGGGGCTTTGAATCCTTGGCTTACCCGGTGTGCGGTTAAATTGTATTATCAAGGTTGGCCCTACCGGTTAGATGTGTTAAACATTGCTGTAAGAAGATGTTCTCTATTAGTGCTGATGGTGCTCCTGCTGGAGTGGCCATCAGGGCCGAATGGATGCAACGGAAGCAAGCAGTGGCACAGAAGGATCAATTCTGCCTCTATTAACCCTCTAATGAACACAATGCGGTCTATACTTGTTGCACCTGAAGGCTGTTCTTTTTAATATGCTCACTGGTTGCACTACGTGGTAACGGAAAGTAAAATAATTATTCTACCACAGAAAACGATTAAAAGGGCAAGAACGATTGCATTTGCACAATGTGATGCGGTTGTTTTTGAGACTGTTTGTAATAAAAATAATGCCTCAGCTGCTGTTTCGTTCCAACCAAACACCATATTGACTGATCATATGTGTGTCAGCTGTAGCTGGAAAAGATAAGTTGCGCCTGACACTGTGAGGTGACGCAAGCTTGATCTGCAGAATGTCATTATGGTTTTCTCAGTATGTTGCTGCCTTCATAAATTTCAAGCATGTGGAGGTGTCACAGTGTGACAGGTAAAGTATTCACTGAAGTGTTTACATATTAGAGACGTGGATGTCGGTACCTGTGTACCTCTGAATTACAAAGAGAGTTGCAGATGTTTCCGTGTGTCCTCATACTGTGAGCCTCTGCTCCGGTACATGTACCCGCTACGACGTCAGACAGGAGCAGTCGTGTGAACTGTTCTACAGTCTTGACAGTGTCCTACAGACATCGTTTAAAACTGTTTCTATTCACAATGTCTCTTAGCGGTATTAGGCCTGAGGGCATGGTTAAGCCAGTATGTGGTTAGAGTGTATTATCAGTCTTAGGCCCAGAGCATTGGCTGAGCCTGTCTGTGGTTAGATTGTATTAGCAGGGTTCTCCCTGACTTTTAGAGAGGCTTAACGTCATTGTAAAAGCTGGAAATGTTCCCAGTGGAATAGGTATATAAAAAACGAGGAAAAATCCCTTAAAGAAGAGGAAAGTGACACAAAGATGGTTAACAGACATAAACATGCTTAAATGTGGCCCATAATAGTCCATCACACCCGGATTCCTGAAGAAAGGCACGGAGATAAAGCACGTTTTCTAGCATTCAGTGCCCACACACACACAAAGATAATCCAACATACCAATCAATCACTAATGGGTCCCTAAGACTGATTACAAGAATGACAGTTTGTATTCAACGTTAGCCATATTACATTTTTAGTTTCAGTATTGATGCTTGAATCATAATAATTTAATATAAATAAGCTTCATTGAGAGTTTATTTGCAGCAGTATTTCCTCCTGCAGCTGTTTCAATACAATAATGTGCTGCATTGTGATGTATATGCACGGAAAGTACACAGTTAGCAAAATACTACAGCTGTAATTCATTAGATATTTGACCAGGTTAGTCTGACGTAATAATTAATAGCCCTTAGTGTAATTAAGTAAATGCAATTTTTGGAGTTGGATGATTGTTTTCACACACAGCAGGAGTGATTAAAACATTAAAACAGCTGGACAGGCTTCATGTTTTTCAAATTCCCTAATGCACTTACTGGGGTGTGAAAAAACATTTCATTGCTTTGACAAAAAAAACACACAGGTTTTCTTGTTTTTAATTTTTTGGGAGAAGTGCAAACAGCTTGAAACATGTTTAGTCTTTTTACGCAGGTGTAGAATTAATAGTTCACTCTGAATGTATTTGAACATTTCCTGTTTTTTATCCTGACTTGAACTCTCTGGCTAAAGGACAGCTGTGCCTCTCGTCCAATCTGAACTCTCACCCTCACCAGAGCATATTTTGCTCTGAGTTAAATAACATGTGTAATGATATACTATGCTTCCTCTTGTTTAACTCGCAGGCCAAATGTTTTTTTGGCTTGCCGCATCAGTATGTTTGTCCCACTACTGATAAAGATCTAATAATAGCTGCAAGCGTGGTTATTTAACTTTGGTCTCATCAATTATTTAGGGGGGGAAAAAGTGTGAAATGGAGCAGCTTGGTTCTCGCAAATATACCTCCATCATGTTAAAAATATAGAGTCCAAAACTAGCCGCGTAACAAGTAGTAATTATGCAAAAGACACCAGATGCTTGATGCGATGGAATTATCTGTACTATAGTTATCTCGTGTGATGGGATAAAAATTTACATTTATGCATTTTAAGGGCAATTTCTACTAATGTACTACACGTATGTTAATTATAATTTCCCAAAGAATTAGCAGAAAGCATAGGGCAAACTAAAACGAACTGGAAGGAAAGCCCCAAAGTACCACTTAGGCTAGCAATTAGCATGCCACTCCCCGGGCTAACAGTAATGGAGCTAATTCCTGTTACTGCAGCTGAACACTCCGAACAGAAACCATTTGTTTGACAGCTCCAGCCAGCTTGAGGCGAAAATCTCCAGCAACATATGAACGAGCTCATTACAATTCCTATTGCTATTGGCTACGTTTTTTCGCCCTGGCACTGTCAAAGAAAAGGCTTACCAAGCTCAATTTGCCCAAAAATGTCACCTAATACAGTGCTTGACCAAATTTACTCAGATTAACTTCATCCCCGAAGACAAAAGAGAGGGTGAGAACGAAACAAAGTAAGGGGTGTGCAGGAATTGTTATAAAAATAGAGGTGGTAGGAGAACATGGGAGGAGGAGGAGAGAGAGATGGGGGGAGAGTCAGACGAGGAGAGGAGGGGTGGCAGATGGTGACATGTTGATTTATGAGCTGCAGGGCTTTTCATTAACCATACGGAGTTTTACTGAAACAGAGAGAGGAGGAGAGGAAGATAGAGGGAACGTAAGGAGAGAGCAAGAGACAGACAGCGAGATGCAAAAGTGGGGGACACCGAGGGGAGGGAAGAAGAAGGAGCAATGCGACCCATACCATTTCACACTGTCCATTCCTATATTTTCTCTTTCCATCACAACCACATACTCCAATACGCTGTAACTACATGCTCGTAGCGAGTAGACGCGTCTCCGTCGACTTGCAGCACTTGTAGCGCAGAGAAACAGTACGTCGGCCCTTTTCTTTGGCATTCCTGCCACCTGCAGAGCCGTCGCCGCCAATCTGTGGAAATGTCACAGGCTGCCAGATATAAGCATGAGCATTTCGAGCACGAGCACTTCACATTTATGTCCCAGCTGTGTGATGGCATTGCAAAGTGTTTCGGTAACAAGTACTTACCGCTTGCGAGCTTAAAAGTTGGCCTCAAAAGTTACAAAAAATACTCCATCTGCATGCTCGGTGTGTTGCAAATAATATTATACAAAAATACACACATTTGTCATGCCTGCAGGATTCTATGACAACAAACATACACCAAAAACAATCTGTTGAAGATGCAAGCAACAAAACAGTGTATGAAGCTTTGGAGAAAAACAAACAAAAAAAGAAAATGTGAATACAGTGGAAGGACCTTTGGTAAGTGAACATACACGGTACAGTAGTGATCACACGCATCAGCTCTTCAACTGGATGCTCTCCTCAACTTTATTATGTTGCCAAGTTGCAAAGATTTTTCTGGCAGCCATTTCTTCACCATATCCATGTCTCACAGTGCTCATTTGAAATAAGTGGTTTCCAGCTGTTTCCTCTCTTGTTTGGTTTGCCTGTATGAGCATACAGTTAGCAGCAGGTTATGTTCCACACAGCGAAAAGAGTGACTCAGTTCTGCAAGAAGGCTAAAATGCAGACAACTTTAATGTTTGTGTCGTAGCTGGTAGCTGATCAACAAAAGAAATACAACGTCCTGCAATAACAATCTAGTTTAATGATGTTTTTGTCCTGCTGTAAATCAAATCTGTCTATTTTTACCTCCTCTAATGCGCGAACATGCGATGACATGCGTCGCTGTATTTAGTTCACAGTAAAGAACACGCTTTCTGAGACTTGTAGCTTTTATCGGTGATTTCTAGGAAACTCGCTTGCTAATGGTTTCCTCTGTAAAATGAGTCCATGTTAGCAGAATAATTTTTCAAAATATAAACAAAAATTTAGGACACTTATCGCAGCTGGAGACATCCTCCGCTGTGAATGAACTGCTTCTTCTTTTTTTTTTTTTTTTCTGTCTGGGCTGCAAGATCCCTTCTGCCAGTACAGAAATAAAGTGATACTCAAATCTACTGCTTCCCACAGGTGCTAGACAAGGATTAAACTGGAAACTTCAAAAAAATGGGCTTGTACAGCAGTCTCACTCTGTCACTTTTAATGTGACAAACAAGCTTTTAAGTAAGGTAGCCAATTTATTTAACCACCATGAAGCTCCCCAGTTATTTCTTTACTCTGGAATAATTACTTAAGCCTCACTTGTGACCGTGACAACTTTCATGTGAGCTTTGGCGTGTTTTACAAGGTCCACCCTGATGCAAAAAGGTTTTTTTTAATTTTTCTACCTCATAATTTTTTCGACTTTTTTTTTAGTTATTGTTGTTTTTCCTGAGCCGGTCAGCAGTGCACATGTTCATTGACGCTCCCTCTATAGAAACACCTTTAACTCGTGTTTTTTATTCACGCTCTGCAATCCTGCTTCTACGTTTTGATTGACAGGTGTATGATGGAGAGAACACTTCATCTCGTCTCCTTGGCAACTTCACACACGATGACATGACGGGTCATGTCATTAACAGCACGTCCAATCACCTGTGGTTGGAGTTCAACAGCAACGCCTCTGGAACCAATCAGGGCTTCCGACTCACATACACAAGTAAGTTAGCGTGTGTGGTGGAGAGTTATTCACCTCACACACACACACACACACAGTTTTACATATGCATACAAACACACAAACAGTAATTTTGGACGATGTAATCACGGAGGTCCATATAGAGAGCGAGGCTATCTTGAGTTTGATTGTCCTCTCGAATACACCCTGCGGCTGTCCTGCGCCTCAGTCAAGTGAATGTTTAGCGCGACTGTTACATACCAGAACCAACTAGATGTCATGTACTACAAATCTGTGGAGACTAGTCTTTCTCAGTCAGCGAATTACAAAGCTACTTCTTTCATATTTGACAGCTGAAAAGGGACCAACATTTCGAGGTAATTTCTGCTGAAGGCCGGAGTGAAACTGTATAGCATATAGAAGAAAAGAAATGAGCATATGAATGCTTGAGACAGACTCTCTGTCTCTCTCACAAACACTCACACACACTCTCACACACTCACACACACGTCCTAATAGCTTTAAAGAGAGTCTGTTAAGAAGGCAAGACCAGCTGCTGTGTAAGTCAAAGAGGCTATTAGAGGAGCATTTATCTGCAAGTCATTAAAAGAAGGTGAGAAAGTGACACATCTGGAGTGGAAGAGTGGCTGGACGAAGGGACGAACGAATGACGGTAGATGGTGTATGGATACCGGATAGACGCTCTGTGTGTCAGTTACACCATTAGACACTCGTCAATTTGCAAGTCATTAAACCGGAGAAGGTGACACCTTCTTCAAAGTTCTGCTACAATAGGTGAGCTGATGGATAGATAAGAGAGATTGATAGATGGTTTAAACAAGAGGAAGGAGGAAGAAGCGTCTGATGGGGAGAGGCAGCGGCGGCTTCCTGTGCAGGGTCAGGGACCGAGTAAAACAGCTTCAGCGATGCACCGTGTTCGAGGCTGTTTTAATGGTCGTAATACGAATTCACAAAACACCTGTTCAGGACATTAACAGGAGAGGCTGACAGAGGTGAGATGTAGGCTATTTGTTTTACTGAAATGGATCCGCGAAGGAACCGACTGTTGTAAGAGGCTGTATTTATCAGAAGAGTATTTATGAAATCAAAACTAAAACTTTCTTTGCAGTAAGATAGTTCTAGTCTGCTGAGGTTTGTAGACGTATATGTGGATGCATTGTAGTTTGTAGATGACATAAGCTCGTTTTATTGTCAGTTATTTTCAATCTACAAGATAGATCAGAATATTCTTTCGGGCCGTTTTCCCGTCATAAATTGGCTGACATACTACAGACACAGATAAACCTCGGTGTAGACAGTATCTGATGGCAGCCGAATTATTGTGTTTTTTTGTCCATTACGTAGCAGCTCCGATGCCCCTGATCTGAGGGAGAACATTTTGTTCATAACAGGCTGACCTGAGAGAAAAAAAAAAAAAATATGTTGGTGACATTGTGGTGCCTTTGTTTATCCATCCGTCTTAGCGGCAGAAAGCCTTCCTATTGTTTATCTTCAAAACACAGAGATTCTGTGTGTTTGTGTTGGTGTGGGACGGGAAATGATCATTTGATGTTTTTCCACAGTTTCATATAGGAAACACAATATCAATCCATGAATATAACTACTGGCGCTTCTTGCTACCGTCACGTCTGTCAGAAAAAGGGTGAAGTTTCTACATTTCATAGAACCCAGTAGTTTTCACTACAACTGTCACATTGGATTTTAACATTAACAGCGTGTTCAGCCTTAACATTTCTGCAGGAAGTAGTGGGATTCAGGTGGAGAACAGAATGACCTTACGTCCTCTTGTCCAGAACTGAATCAGCCTGTTCACTTATGCAGCGTTGTTTTACTGCTTTGACAGGAAGATCTAATCTGTATGTGTCTGCATACCCGTGTGTGTGTGTGTCTGTGTGTTACTTTCTAGGTTTTGACCTCGTACGCTGCGAAGAACCAGGTGTCCCTAGTTACGGCTATAAGATCCAGGACGACGGTCATTATGCCAACACTTTTGTCCTGTACTCCTGCAACCCTGGATACAGTCTCCACGGCAGCAGTACGCTGACCTGTCTGAGCGGGGACAGGCGTGTCTGGGACAAGCCACTTCCTTCCTGTATCGGTTAGTATGCCATCACATGTGTAGGTTCCCCCCCTGTGCATCAATAATTCAGGAGTACAAGATCTGAATTACTAACCTGTGGGCGATCTCTTTTTTTCATGCAATTCAGTGAGAAATGTAGAGGGGCGAAACAGCAGTCGACGCTACTCCAGTTTGTTTTTTTGAGCTGCACCGTGATGATTCAAAAGAGAGAGCGAGTGAACAAGTGATTGAGTCAACGCACATGAATAGTTTGAAACAAGCGCGTGGGGACTGATTCAGCACTCTGTGGGAAATATTCGTAGAGGTGGTAATACACCTCTGTATGTAAAAAAACAGGCCCTGTGGATCCATCAGCTCACGCACGCAAGTCCATCTGCACTTAGACAGCGGGTTATCACGAGGGATGGCATTCTAGCGCCCCGGGCTTCTATGTGTTTTAGGGTTTGCATAGTTAAGGCGCAAACACAGAGGATGACTGTCTGATTGAACTCTGATAAATTTATAATGTGAGCCAGACAACCTTCCTTTACCCTGAAGGTGCGCGCTGTGTTTTTATGCCTAAAACTTTGACAGAAGCCTTTGCTTTCTGTTCTATTCTCAGCATGCACAATAAATAGAATATTCTATCAGGAGAGACTGAGGGTGATGGGATATAAAAACAATATTGATTCATTCGAAAATTGTTGCCTCTCAAATAAATTCAAGATGAAACGGAGCCAAACAGAGTTATCACATTATTCGAGAGAAATTCTGGACAGCACGGCCTGTGGAGAGGGACAATATGCACTTTACTCCACAACCCAAAGTTGATGTCTGCCTCCTGTCTTACTTTCCAAAGTTGTAATAATTAATTTCCTTTGCCTGAATGCTCTTATGTCAGTTTAGTCAAAGCAGTAGCAAAAAAATTCCACCTGGAGACATTAAACTTTTTTTTTTTTTCTTTATTGAACTAACTTCACATCAACTCTGATAGGATGACTGATTGTGCCAAAACATTGTTCTGGGAATAGCAGTCAGGTTTTTAGATAATTCTGCCTCAGTCTTCAACGCAGAACCTCAGAGACTGGCAGGAAGTGTAGCAAAGTCTTGCAGCTGTGAAAATGTGAAACTTTTTTTAATGCTGCACAATTATGCGCACTGCTTTTTAACACATCCAAACGCCGCGAATCTCATCGACTCGACGACGACGACGGCGGCTCACACCATTCATTTTGAATGTGACTGTCATGTAAACACACACAAACAAATACGACGAATCAGAGTCGTCTCAGTTTTTTAGTTAAAAGAACACAACAGAAAATGGAAAAACATTGTTGTAGTAGCATGTGGCCTGAAAGCACGGTGTTATAATCAGCCACCATGTGAATGACAAAAATGAAATACAATGTTTTTCATGTGGCATATCTAGAATACATTTGAATATTTCTCAGGTTTGGAGGTAAGTAAACTGCCAGAGGGTAGATTTAGCTTTAGTTGGCACTTGGCAGCTCCTAATTAGGTTTGGGAAAACTATGTCAAACAATTCAGGTGCTTTAACATGTTGTTTATACTGTCGCTTATGAACCTTTTTTTCTTTAGCTATGGCATGTGCAGCTGGCCACTCCGGTGCCTTACTTTCATTCAACAACCACCAGTGAAGCATGAACTCAGCACTGGTTTATTGGTATTGTTCCTAGCTAGCTTTGTAATCCCTACAGCAAATTCACAAAAATGGTAAGGTCCATAATTCTTGCTTGTCCATAAATATTTTGGGGCTTTGCATATTTTACAAGTTAAAACACTTTTTTCCCGTATTCATGTAATTCTGCCTTGCTGAATAAACATGGACACATGGCACATGTTAATTTGGAATTCCCTATTGCAGAGCCAAACCTTGGCTCTTTGTAACCCGCCAGTACACCTGAGCTCTCTGAGGTGGGATGTAGTGGTTGCTAATGGCAACTAAAGAGGATGCACGTGTATGAATTTGTGTGTGTATTTAAGTCGGTGTGAATGAGGATGGGTATGCGTTGTTTTTTTTTGGCTGGGTGTGGGTGAAAGTGTTTGCGTGTGCATCCCTACGTGCAGTCAGTCATTAATTTGTAGCTGCTCTGTCACTGCCTTATTTCAGGTAAGCCAGCAACCGGGAGGAGAATACATGCTGGCAGAGCCCTGGGCGAACTTCCTCTATAGCTACCTTTGTATCGTTCTCCTTTGTCTGTCTGTTGGAGTGTTTGTCTTTCTGCCTCCTTCTCCGTCTGTCTGGCTCTCTCCCGTATCTGTGTATATTAGCATGGAGATCAGGAGATAGCTTTGCCCCGGGCTGTTTCTATACCATCTTTCTCACTCTCTCTCCCACACTGAGTCAAACAGAGTGGTGGTCTACGTCTGTGGGACACTGCCACTCTCCGTCTTCCCCCTGCTCGTATAATAAACTTGTCTGTCTTCTTTATATATATTTGTGCCTGTTTTTCGCCCCTTTTTTTTCTCCTCTATCTCGGGGAATTGTAGTTGTCATTGGCCCGGCTTACTAAATATCTCATATTTTTCTCTTTCTGCGTCTGAACCTCCTCCCATCTCTACCCGCGCTTCTAATGATAAAACATAGCAGAGTAGCTTCCTTTCCTTTTCTGTTTTTAACCACCAGGGACTACGTATGTGCGCATGTCTTCGCATAACTGTCTTAAGTGTTTTCAAGTATGTTTCCGGCCTTCCGTGTGATGGTGTGATTGTCTGCCACTCCCTTTGTGCTTGTGCTCACGTGCGGATGCGTGTTTGTGTGCGTTCCGCCCAGGGTGATGCGACGGCGGGAGGTTGTCATGGTATTGGAGATTGTAGCTCTGTGTGTGTACGGTGCCCACTTAACTCTCACAATCGCACAGCACACAAACAGATGTAAAGCTTTCTCCGTACCAAACTGTTTCCTAATCAGCAGTGATCTTCTGGCTCAGTGGGCTACCATGTGTACTGTGTGCTACCATGATGATTTCAAATCTGCTCCCAGCCTTTTCCCCCGCCTCGTGCTATCTCCCTTGTTTCTCTCGACTGAAAACAGCACAAAAATAACACAAAACCGGGTTCTCTCTTGTGCATTAAACTGTATTTTCTTCTTGAACTTTGAACACTATAGGGAGATCCTGAAGGGAAAACAGCCATCAAAGTTATTCAACAACCTTGAAACTGTATAGCAAGAGCTTGGATAATTCAAGGTTGATTTAGTGATTCAAGCCTTTCTTAAATGATTCTCATTTAAGTCAACCTTCACACCTCAGTGTAATTTACAGCAAAGCAGAGAAGCCGCCTCCTATAGAGATGAACTGGAGCATTAATAGGAGTGGAAATAAGATCAGAAAATATACAAAGAATCTCGCTCTGTAGGGAGGATGGGTTTTTATGGGTCCAAACTGTTGGAAAATCTAAGCGCAGAAACAGAAATACCCAGCGGGAACCTCAGCAAAGCCAATTACGATATATACAGCATTAGGATAAGTAGACCTGATTGACCAGCATCATACTCTAAAGCCAGTGCATTCAAATAAAGGACAAGCTATAGGATAACAGTGCGATAGGTCACAGAAACTAATTCAGAAAGTAATTTGTAGTATAAATCATAGAAATAATTGACAGTTGTACGTTTTCTCTACCAGTATTAAGTGAGTACAACATCACTTAAATGTCAAATGATTCAAAATTGTGTGACCTCACAATAATTGCGTTATGTTAAACAGTAGGCTGTGTTCTCTTATGTCAAATTAACAACCAACATTTTATTTTTACTGTATTAAAGATAAAGCCCCCACAGGAGAAACTCAATGCAGCAAAAGTCATTACTGAAATTTAAATCTCTTACTTTTTCCAGCACGTCAAATACCCAACTTTGTTTTTGATGACAGACCCAATCCTCTTCGGCATGAAGGATGTGAAATTTCTTGAAAAATGTTCTGCCATTCTTCAGAGATTTATTTTTTAAATTTTTTTATTGCTGTAACTTTCTCTTTAAAATACCCTAAAGGTGTTCCACTGGATTCAAGTCAGGCGGCGTTCTTGGCCGGATCATAGTTGTAGTTTTTTTTCTTTTCTTTTCGAAACGCTTGTAAGATTTTGGCAGTGTGCTTCGGATCATTATCATACTGGAATATTCGTCCTCTGCCAAGCTTCTGCAGACTAGAAGTCATCACGTCAGCCAGGATTTTGGTAGATCCACAGGCATTTATGGGGCCATCTGTAAATGTCATCTTCCCAACACTTTCTGTACTGATGCAGCCCAGTATCATCATCATCATCACACTCCCACCTCCGAGCTTCACTGTCAGGACTGTGCATTCAGTGAGGAAGGCTTGGCCAGGTTCTCACCATACGTGCTGAACCCCATCTGATCCAAACAGATTAACCTTGAGCTCATCTGACCAAGGAATGTGCTCACGACATTCATTCGGCTTCTCTTCATGCTCTTTATCACAGTTTCATTTTGCTTTGTGCCAAAGATCGAGCAAGAGTTTGTTTTTTTTCTTGGAGAGCTTCATGTTCTGCAGTTTTCTTCACACTGTGTGAGCTGACACAGAAACTCAGATGTCTGTTGATGACCCCTGTACCAAGTCGGAAGCTCTTTGCCTGTCTGCTTCACCGAACTACATTGTGAAAGTAGCGCACTGTCTGTGGCTCTGATTAGTGGTGCCCTGGCTCAGTTTATACTTTCTGATTACTGCTGAAACTGTTTGAACTGATTTGTAGTTGGTCACCAATCTTCCTGTATCCTTCTTCATTCTTTGTGACCAGTCACAGTCAGATTTTCCAGTTTCTCTGCCAGTTCTGTTGCATGCAGAGCCATGATGCTAACATGGACACAGCAGAAAGTTTCCTGTGTTCAGGGCTTATCTTATAACCATATTCATACAGTTAGGATACCTGGAAATCATGGGTGCACTCATTTGGGTATCAGTGATCACTAGTCTATTTACTTTTGTTGCACTTTTAAGGGTCTACTTTGGGAGTTGTATTTTCGATAAAGTCTTAAAAGTATTAGTATTATATAGTTAAAGTATTTATTTTAAATCAAATCTAATCCAAAAAATATCTAAATAAAGCTAACAGCTACAAATTCATATCCAAAAAACATACATTAGCATTTAATGTTATACATTTTTAACATAGGAAATACCAACGTTTTTTAAAACTCAATTATAACCACGCCATCAGGGCTGAAATAAACTTTCTTTGGATCCAGTTAGATCCACCTACACTAGACATCAGGCATATAGGCCTGAGAACAATGACAATAAAACAAGACCCAATTCAACTAAATTAGACGGAATGCAATTTGAACCCTGTCCAGCTCAGCTCAATTTTCACTTCTGAGGAACTGAGAAAACAAAAAAAACCCTCTAATTGTGAGAGCCACTGTCGTAGTATACTAAACAGAGTCTTTAAGACTTTCAGAATGACAATTCAGGTGAATTGATGGGACTTTATTAGCTTTATTTTTTTTATTTGGTCTTCTTATTAAAAGTGATTCAGTGGCTCGTATTCTTCAATGCATTTCAAATTTCTATGTTATTGAGACGGTTGGATTTAAAGCGGAGAGTTTTTAACGTAATTACAAACTAAATTAAAAAGAGAGAATGAAAGTATTTCCATTTTTTTTGCAGTGATGATTATCTTGTTGTTTCCCTTCCTCGTAGCGGAGTGTGGAGGTCACATAACTGGAGCAGTGTCTGGGAGGATTCTGTCTCCGGGATATCCTGCTCCATACGACAACAACCTTCACTGTACCTGGACGATAGAGGCCGATACGGGGAAGACTATCAGGTAATTAGGAAGCAGCTGGGCACACGCTTAACTGTCATAATGAGCTGCATTTCTCTGGAGTGTTTTTAGGGTCTGCATTTAATGAAATTAACTAAAAAATGTTTGATAGATGGCAACTGAACCACCGTTTAAAGAAATAAGTAGCTTGCTGTGTTTTAACCAAGACAGACTAGAAGGAGTGGAAATAGCAGCAGCGGGTTTATATAGGACAACTCCCCTCTGACAACCTTCGCTCTACCTAGTCTATAGAGGTAAACACTGTCAGGTTAGATACATCCACTAATAGGAGATAAATGTTTACTGTCAAAGCCACTGCTGTGTTGGAGAGTACTCCACATTAGTCATTATGCCACCATTGTGTTTTTCAACACATTGTGGCTCCTGCTGGCATTAATGTGTGTGTGCACTTATGCCTGCTAGCGTGGTCTGTCTATTCTCAGCATGTGCTTCATTTTATTTTCATTGACAGGACTTTCGGTGAAACTGCTGTACCTTTTGTGTTTTCTCAGCCTCCACTTCATCGTCTTTGACACCGAGGTCGGCCACGATATTCTGAGAGTTTGGGACGGTCCATCTGGGCCGTCGGACGGCGGGATCCTTTTGAAAGAATGGTCGGGCCCGGCCTTACCTGAGGACATCCACTCGACTTTCAACATACTCACCCTGCAGTTTGACTCAGATTATTTCATCAGCAAGCAAGGATTTTCCATACAGTTCTCCAGTAAGTGGCTTTATCTCTCAATCGAAATCATTAAGCTCAAGTTCACATTGTAGAGGAAACTCTGATTTACTGAAGAAAACGCAAAAAATGCCCCGTGATTCTGCTAAATCGCTGATTTGGGTGGTCTGCCCTACTTTCTTCCTCCACTTCCATTTATGAAGAAAAACCCATTACTGAATTAGCAATTAAATTAGCTAATTAACAAACTGAGCACTCATCACACATATAGTTTCTTAGTTATTATATGAAGCTCATTTATATTGGCTATAAGATAATTAATCTGCCATTAATGCCGCATTTACCAGGATTTCTGAAAAACCTTTAGCCAAATAATCAAATGAGACATTTAATATCTCACCTTGGGACCCAGACGCACTGAAAGAGCCCAAGTCTCAATTTTCACACAGGAGAGAACAAATCAGCGAGTGCAGCTTCATCTCAGGTTAGTTAACAGTAGAATGAAACATTTCTTTGAGAAACCGTAGGTCTGTGTTTGCTGTGAAAGATTTTATAGATCAGCAAAGTGGTATCCATTCATTTTATGGGTTTTGCCTTTTAGCAGTTCAGTGAACACAAATTATTGCTGCTGTTTCTCCCATGGCAACCTGGGCAATTGTTGTGCCCTTTGGGTGCAGAGTTGGCCTTTGCTGTTTGAGCCACGGGAGCAACTTTTGGGCTCGAGCCACCGTAGCACCGAATCAGTGGTAAATTGAGTAAGAAAACGTGGAAAGCGGTATAAGAGACCGCCAAGAATGTTCTATCTTTACAACTGCTTATTCACATCAGCTGATCCGCACAAACACACACATGCACTTTATTGTACTTGTCCAACTTTACAAAGCCATTTATTGTCCACTCAGTTCTCGCGTGAGCCTGTTGTTCATCAATACACATAAATGTCAGCACATTTTTAGGACATATAAAGCTCCAGTCGTAGTGTTTCCATCCACTGCTTTCTGTTTCTCATTTTCTCTGCATCTCTCAAACATTTAGCTCTTTTTTTTTTTTTCTTTCCACTCTCCCCATATTTAAAACAATAAATATTTGCGCTCACTAACATGCTAATCAGAGGACTGCTTTTCCATTACTATGGTAATGACTCCTTATATTTACCTCCATGCTGATTTACTAAAGCAGTGGAAATGGTATTTACCACCACACCCATTTATTTAAAGCAAAGTTTGTGGATTTGTTGAGTTGGTGATTTTAAGCGTTTGATGTTTCTGCAAATTTCTGTCATTTTGTCGTCTCTCCTTCCTCTCTGTTCTGTAACCTGATGGAAAAAGTGGTCCTAGAAAGACTTTATGACATGATGTAATAATACTATGTTTTGCCATGTGCCACTTCTTGGATTATACTTGCAAAAGATTTTCTCAGTGTGGATGTAATTCAGGAGGCCAGCTTCAATGCAGACATGTTCTAGTATTATTTTAGCTAATCTATAGCTTTCACTGAATCTGACGTTTTGTGAGTAATTGCTGCTGTATAATAAAGATTCAAACAGTGGCTTTGTCCATTCTGTAGCAGATGACGTAGATCAGTCGTTCCCCACCTTCAAATTTAATTTGGATTTGCCAACATTCTTAGTTTTTCTGATTTCCTGCCTTCACCCCTTAACCCTGATTTTGAGTGGTCCCTAGAAGTAGATGACAGATAGGAAATCCCCAAACACTGCATATTACTCACCGTCTAGACGGCACTGGAAAGATGAATGAATAATTAAATAAATAAAGAGCTAATATACAATATACATGGTGTTATTAATATCGTGTTATTCATTTATTACTAAAAGAAGCAGTGGTAGTTGGAGACAAATGTGAAAACTCCTATTCACCGTGACCAGTTTGTAAATCACTGGTTCTTTCAATAATAAATACCATCATTTTGTTAGTGACTGTCAGTACGATGACGTGGCGATTCACTGTAGTGAGTTTCTGTTCTACACATGTCTTGGCTTCTTTGTCTGCTGTTACAGATACATTACTGTCATGTTTCAGTCTCAACGCTTCACTCTCCTCACATTATGTCTTTCATTACCTGTTTATTTCTCCTCGCTCTCCAGCCACAACAGCGACGACCTGCAACGACCCTGGCATCCCTGTAAATGGTTCTCGATACGGGGACAGCAAGGAGCCGGGCGACAGCATGACGTTCCAGTGTGATCCAGGCTACCAGCTGCAAGGCCAAGACACCATCACATGTGTGCGGATGGACAATAGATTCTACTGGCAGCCTGATCCTCCTACATGCATAGGTAGGTACAGTTTCTGCAGATTGCTTACTGCCAAACTAGAGGCCAGACCACTGCTGAGTGAGACACCATGAGTTAGAGTTAGAAGCTGTGTCATACTGCACTGCTAAAAATGAGGAGAGAACTACATTCAAAGGTTTATTGGTACTGCCCATTGTTCGTTATTTGTGAATATATCCCGCATATCTCTGTAAAATGAAATAAAATAAAGTGGATAAAAGCTGATTTTCTATTCCGGAGGCTTGGTGTTTAAGCTCAAGGAGAATCTGAAACAGGTGCAAAAGAAGCTGTGATTGGCATAAACACTGAGCTCTGTTGGCGTGACCAAGAAGAAAATTCAAGATGAAGTAGCAAAACCTCCTAAATTCCAATCTCATCTGTGTTGGCTGTGATGGACAAGTAGTGGAAGAGGCAGAACTGGGATGATGAGGCATGTGGTCAGGGGGAGGATTGTGGAAAAAGGGTTTGAGCTGTAGCATCACAGTATGATGGAGGTAGCAGTGATTGGAGACCTGTATCACTCCTGTTGAAAATCTGCTGCTTTTATACTTTTTTCTTTCTCTATTATCACCACCATCCAGCGCCCCTGCTGCTTGTAGCCCAGTGAGCTTCTGCATCCCACTCCACACTTCATTCACACCATTCTGCCGCGGTTTGTTTTTTTTTTTCCTCTCCGGCTTTCAGGTGTGCCGTCCTTCCTTCATTTTCTTTTCCTTCTTCTTGACACGCTTGACTGCCTCACTAAAGGAAAGAACCGACTCGAAGACCTGAAACATGGCTTATATTTTTGAATCAGAAAATGCAGGATTAGCACAGTCAGTGTAGCAAAAGATACGATCTGTAATTCAGCAAAAGCCCTTCTGTTTGTGCAACCTTCAGTTCCAATATGTTAGCCAAAAACAAGCCTGTAGCATGTTCACAGATTCATCTGCCCACACTTTTCTGTTTATTGTAAGCTGCTGCTGCTGAACTATATGCCTTTATCGAGATACAAAAGTCACACATTTCCTTTCGCTGATTAACTGCTGCATCCAGTTCAGTTTTTCTTTGTACGTGCCGAGTTCGCTTCTTCACTTTTCCAAGGACCAGGGTGAGGTATGACATCATACACAGGGATGTAGCTGGGATGCAAACAATGTTCGCAAACCAGAGAAAAGTCCTGCAGCAAGTAGCATGTTGTCCACCCCCAGTTCGCAGTAAGACACCACAAACATTCCCCTCGCTGTTACGTGCCACAGCTTCCTTTTCTGTTGCCTTCTGCTTTTCTTTATCAGCCACTACTGTATGGACGTCCTCCAGCACAGTCACAGAGACCAGAGCTTGTCTTGTAAACATGACCGCCAAACACATTATGCTTCTTTCCTGATATTGCCTTTGACTCTTTGCCAGCGACCTCACGTTTTACACGACCAAAGATAAAAATGTAGGGCTTAAATATCGCTCCATTTTCACTTAGCTTGGTGTGAGCCTCCATCTCCTGCACTTTCACCTTGGGTGGTGAATCCCTGGTGTTCAGAATATCCCAAGATTAAACACAACCCTGCACAGCACCACACACGATCCTCTAGAGTGTAGCGTGAGTGTGTCTCTGTCTGTGAGTGATTTGCAACTGTTAATGCCTTTGTTTACCTCTATTTCACTGTTGATAATCCGTTCACACCCACCCGCCACCCCCAAGACACCTCTCCATGTTTCAAACTCTTCCTTCACATCACCAAATTGCTGCTTGAATGCATCTTTCTATCTCTCTTGCCAATAGATCTTTCTTGCTCTCCGGCTTGTTGTGGGATAACAGGACCACTAGGGGTGATTCTCTCTCCTAACTACCCCCAGCCCTGCACTCTGTAACTAAATCTCACAGACTGTCTTTTGCTCTCTTACCCTCTGCAGCCACCTGTGGAGGTAATATCAGCGGTCCACTAGGGGTAATTCTCTCCCTCCTAACCAACCTCTGCCATACTTCTCATTACTAACTAACTCGCTTCCGCTCTGCCTTCCTGTGGGGGTTATATGAGCGGTCAATCAGGGGTGATTCTCTGTCCAAATAACCCCGAGCCCAATGCTGTGTAATCATCTTTCTCACTCTCTCTTCCTCTCGCTGTTTGTCTCTCTCCAGCGACCTGCGGGGGTAACGTCAGCGGTCCTTCTGGAGTCATTCTGTCTCCTAACTACCCCCAGCCTTACCCCCCTGGGAAAGAGTGCGACTGGAGAGTCAGAGTCAACCCTGACTTTGTCATTGCGCTCATCTTCAAAAGGTAGGCCAGCCAAATTTAAACAAACACGGTGCTACATCTACAAATACGTGTCTGCCTGCCTTTTTACTTTAGGAATGTTTATTACCCATTTTCCACCAAGAAGAACCAGGTGCTAGTTCATTGCTGGTGCTAGTGCTCAGTTGGTTCAAATCTCGCAACTCCTAAGAAAGTAGTCGCTTCTTCATCGGCAAGGAGCCAAGTTAGAGCCACGCCATACGTCACTGCATACGTAGACGTTTACGCTCGCACCATACTAACTTTTTTTTTACTGGTAGGACCAACTTTCTCATTTGGTTGCACTTCCCACCTTCTCACAGACAAAACATATGACTTACTGAACGTTTTCTTATCGACAGACCCTACAATTTACTGATGTTCCCTGAACGCCCTACATAGCAGGCTACGCAAGCTGCTTGATGGCTGCGGTGTGTTCTGACAGTTGTGCAACCAAAAGCGACTATAAAAAGAGTAAACTGGGGCCTTCTAATGTCAGATTTGTCCAAGATGAAACCAAATGATTTTTTCATGTGCAGTCTTTTCTATGAGCGGAAAAAACAGTGCTTGTAGGTGCGTTCTGTTTTCCATGAAAAGATCGTATTTCTAAGCGTAAATACCACAGTACACAGAAGTTATAAAAGTATTGTTTTCCACCACTGTGGTGCTGCTGGTGGGACACAATTGTACCGGATTTCAGCACAGTTTGTACAAAACTTCCATGTGTCTCATTCCAATGCATCTGCGATTGGACCAAGGATGTCCTGGTGAAAAACGACAAAATTACCACCTGTGTGTCCCGTTCTGTTCCCATCGGTCTTGTTGGTCACGATGCCCCCAGCCCCTGACGTAGTCGGTGCTTACCTCTGGCCCAGCAAAGAGTTGCTGCTTGCTATGCACCAGTTTTGAGAACCTGCAGTGGAAACACAAAGAACTGGGGCTAAGTTAGGCTCTGGCTCCGAGCTAGCACTGGAACCAACTCGGTGGAAAAGGGGTATATGGGCTTTAAAATACAAATGAAGCTTAGCTTTGGCTGTAGAAACACCCCTGACATTTGATTATTGATGCTTGCCCTGTTCCAGTTAATGCTACAGTCATTACAGTCAGGTAGATATTGATGTTTTTGTTGTCAGAAGACTTATTAACAAATCATAACACTACAGCACAACAAGAAAGAAAAGAGAGCAACAGTAAGATGTGTTTTCACTTAATTTTGAGGAAGTGCATCTGCAACAAACACATCAGGACACAGCAATGATGATATTAACTTTTAATGAGTTCGCCCAAATACCTCAGAAAACATGAAAAATGCAAACTTAAAGATTTAGGGAATGGCTAGGGTCCCCCAAGCATTTTGTAAAATATGTTTCTCCTCTGGCATAAATTAAAATATGTATTGTCCTCCATGGACTGTGTTCACGAGTTTGTTCAAGTTTATTTTTCAGTGTAGACTCCATGACTCACTGTGGCAGTACAGTCTGTACAGGTCTGTATATTCAGGAACTGGGCTGGTTTTATATTGATTACCATACAGTGAAGGGTCATTAAGGTAACCAGTGAACCAGTCTGTGTGGGGACAACCTCTAAAAGGCATTACAACTCTCTGAAAACTAGAATCCAGTTCTCACTTAAGTAACTACTGCTGTGTAATGATTAGTTTTTTGGAGGGCTGATGTCTTTTATAATCAAAAATTAGTATTTTTAATGCTTGTCAGGGCTTTTAAAAGCTGCTTTTTTCTTGTTCTTTTGACTTTTTAATCCTTGTGAACCTCTGGGTAATCTTCATTACTAAAGAACTAAAATATACACGCACAAAGTTTTCACTCTGTGTAGAAAGAAACTCTTTTTGCTCTCTTTCACACAAACATATGCACTATTCAGATACACTATACTGGCCTCGATTTTAAAAGTGAAATTAATGCATAAATGAAGGGAATGTCTGACCATTTCCATGTTTTGTTTCTTGCTAACAGGGCAGTGTTTATTTACACTTCAAGTCCTGATTGTGCCTCAGTGGTGAATATTTTACAAGTCACTGTGGTTAGAGGCTTATGACTAAAGCAAAAGTGAAGACTGAGCTTCAAATGTAGCAAAGGAGATAAAAGCAAAGCGGACTTTCTCCAGATTGCCAAAGGAGAAAAAATGACCCAATTTTGGCTTCGTGTTTTTCAGCTGGAGAGATAATTCCCTTCTGTTGTAACTGGGAGACAGTTTTATTTTACATTTAATTAGGTTGTATTGATATTGGTTGTTTTGTGAACGTTGTGTATCATTTCTTTGTCATTATTTATTTAATTTTAACTTTGTAGTTTTGTTTAATAAACCGCATTGAGATAGATTTCGTCTTGACCCAGCTGTTAATAACGCTCTTGATCGGTCTTCGGATTTAATCGCGGTACAATTCAGCGAGGTCGGAACTCATTTTGAGATATCATCGTTCGAGGGCCCACATCCAAGTGACCGTTGTTTTATAGGTCTGAACGTGTCGGCCTCAGAGTATTACTTCAAATATTGTGTTTTATAAATGTACTAACTATGCAGATTCAGTGTAAAAAAAAACACACATTTGCATTCCTGCAATGAGAGCAGTGACAGTCCTGTGGCATTACAGTAGATTATAAATTGTGTAATTGATTACTTTAACAATAATACACTTCCTCAAGTTTGTTTGTTTGCTCTTAATTTGCATCCTTAATGTATTCTTGTTGTGCTCTTCTTGGCATTAGAGGTTTTGGTGCTATCCTATTTCTTCTCAGTGAGATCTTTATGCTCTTTTTATGACATTTAGTAGCTTTAGCATTCAGACCCAGAATGTATCACTAATGCAAAAGGTATTAGCATGGATCTTTTAATGCTTTGTCAGTGCAAATGGGGCTTAGGTGCAGTTAAGCCCATTCTGCACCAGATATAAACACAGGGCTTAAACTCGGAGATTCTATGCACTTATTCTAACTTTGGTGATGTTTAACAAGTTCTTTCCTATAACAAATGTCGTTGTGAGACGAATGAAACTTAACGGCCAAACTCAGAAATTCATGATGGTCCTTTTGTGTCTTTAAAAAAAAAAAAAAAAGCAAGTGGAGGGGATTTCCATGTATATACCAGAGGCATGTCCTGATTCTAGTAACATATTTGATTGTTTGGGGTGTTCTTTTCTATGTCAAAACCTCAGTGTTTCTGATTTTACATTTCTTTCCTACAAAACCATCCATCCATCATCTATACACCGCTTAGTCCTCACTAGGTTCATGGGGGATTATCCCAGCTGACTCAGGGTGAAGGCAGGGGACACCCTGGACAGGTCACCAGTCTATCACAGGGCTACACTTAGAGACAGACAACCAAGCACACTCACATTCACACCTGTGGACAATTTAGAATCACCAATTAACCTCAACTTGTTTTTGGACTATGAGAGAACTCACACTGCATGGGGAGAACATGCAAACTCCACGCAGAAAGATCCCGGGTGTCCTCACTGGGACGCAATCCGGCGACCTTCTTCCTGCGAGGCGACGGTGCTAACCACTGCGCCACCTTGCAGCCCCCCTACAAAACCATTAAAAGCAAAAACGTTTGGCATTCGTCTACATTGTGTGGTTCGTTACCACCATAAACAGTTAGTGCTCTCTGCAGAACTGTCTATTACCTTACACCAGTTCTTGTGGCAAGAAGTCAGTGCTTTTTTGTGTATTTGGCGATAAATTGCAAATGTCGCTCTAAAGTAAGTCTAGTGCTCGAAAATTCCACTGAGTACTTTTCTGCTAGTTTAGAAATAGTGCTACATTCAAACCTACACAATACATCTCCCTCTTTCTCGCTTCTCCTTTATCTTTATTTCTTCTGACAGGATGTGCAAACACACTATCTCACACCCCCACACACACACATTTAACTCCAACCAACCACCAAAGTAGGGCGGTTTGGCAAGACAGGTGGGAGACTGAGCTAATACACACACACACACACTCAGAAAGCAAACTTAGAGAAACGTGTTTGTATGTGTGTTTAGGCGTGTAGTTTTATCCCCATGAGGACCAGATGTCTTCATGCATGTATGGAGATGAGAAGAAGTTGTTAAAGTTTTACACATAAGCACATGTATGTTGAGGATATAAAAATCAAGGTACACAATGCAGATAACTGGGTGATTGTTCTCCATAAAGATGACGCTGTAATTGGGTTATTGATAATAATAATGTGCTTTTAGTTATATACCGTTGTCTTATATGCAAGAGGAACACAAAGAAAACAACAAACACTTGATTTTTTTTCATTGTTTTTTCTTAACACATCCAGAAAACTTGTCAAATGTGTCAGAATGAAAGTAAGAAGATTAGCAGATGATTAAACGAGAGATAATACAAACTAATTGCCATTCATCAAAGGCAGCAGGTATTTGGTTTGAGCACGCGCCGCTGACTTGGTTGGAGAGTTTGAACACAAATAAACACACACTTAAAGCTATAAAAACTCCAAACAAACTGCACAATCAATCTCATTAGATCCCTAAATCTCACTTTCTCTGTGTCGTTTTTGTTTGTTTTTTCCTCCTTTACCCCCAGTTTCAACATGGAGCCAAGTTACGACTTCCTGCACATCTATGAAGGAGAAGACTCTAATGGGCCTCTACTCGCAAGTCTCCAAGGCAACCAGGCCCCTGAGCGGATAGAGAGCAGCAGTAACAGTCTCTTCCTGGCATTCAGATCTGATGCCTCGCTGGGCATGTCTGGGTTTGCCATCGAGTATCGAGGTAATTGAATCCAAAAACCTTGACTCGGGACATGTATATTTTGCAACAAGGTCACATTGAAGGTGCTGAAAAATCTTTGTGGATCGTAACCAGAAGGTATTAAACCTGTCTAAAGTGCAGATTAGCTCTGATGATACAAAGATAATACACAGTGGTGGTAATAGAAGTACTGCATTGTGGTTGTAGTAGTAGTGATAAAGTAGTATTTGGGGGTGGTAGTAAAAGTAGTACAATACCAGTAGAGTATTTGTAGTGTTACTAATAGATGATGATGGTGCTGATAGTAATAAAGTAGTAATTATCAATAATAATCCACTTCATCATAACCACACTACAGGCCTAATTAAGTTAAAAGTTACACTAATAATCATCTTGACACACGGATCAATATTACAAATTGGATATATTCATCAGGACAAATCAATGCCGTGCTACATTTCTCTCAGATAAAATACTTCACGTCTACTTTCAGGTTTTTCTGCACTAAAAACAATTACTGCCATTAAAGTGTGTATTTACGAAGTGTGATGGATAAGTGTGTCAACGCGGGAGTGTCTTCCGTACGCACTGGATAATATTTTAATCTGCCTACTCCTGTTAATTTCCTTCTTACATCACAAGTCTTTTTCAGCTGAAAGGGCATGCTGTTCCATGTCAGCCCATGAGTTGTTTACTTCCACAGATTGTGACTCATCCCGGTTTTACAGACGTTGCTTGACTAGAGGTGATTTAACGGCTATAGTCAACGCGGAACTTAGTTGTTCGACTGACTAGAGACTAGATCTGCTCTGTCAAATTTTATAAACTCTTTTTTTTCTTCACCCCCCCCCACACACACACTCTCTCTCTCTTGTTTCTCTCACCTCATTTATCTCTAATTAAAAAAAGATTATCTCCTTTTCTGTTGTCTGTCTCCTCACACCACCTCACACCTCTGTACTTTTGTCATTATTCACTACCTTTCATCTGCCATCTCTCTAATTAAAATACTGCCTTAATCATCTCCCTGTTTCACTTCTATGTTACCCTCCACCTCACACACACTCTCTCTCTCTCTGTCTGTCTGTTTCCCTCTGGCAAGCCCAATATCTCATTCTTATTGGGTGATCACAGAAAAGCAAACAAGCTGGCCCAACGCCAAGATATAAAGATCCAAGACAGTTTTTTGACCATGGTTGACTCCTCATATTTTTACTGCTTTAGTCCTTTATTCTTTTTTTGTGTGTCATTGAACCTCTTTTACCTTTATTTTTTTTTCTTTTTCTTCCAAAGGAGGCAAAATGTGTTTATAAGGGATATTATATAGGAAATTCAATATCACATCTATTAACCCATCAACACATTTTTACTCTTAATTTGGCCCAGAAATACCAACAAAACAGTAAAACCTGAAAATGTCCTCTACTAGGCTGCGTAAGACATTCGGCATGTTTTAGAAATTTACCACCGTGACTGATGTATTTAAATTCATATGAAAATTAATGTATGAATGTATAATCAGCACCGCCATGCAGATCGTTACAGTGACTTTTGTGCACCACATGGGAGGTTGTGGTGCACTGCTTCGTACTGATGTGATATCTCATGAGCTTGCCAAATGAATAAATAATGACAGATTATAACAGTTCGTAATAATAACAGTAGCATTCCTTTTCTTTTTTACAAATGCTCTCTCTTCGCCGCAGAAAAACCGAGAGAAGCCTGCTTTGACCCCGGCAACATTATGAACGCCAGTCGGACAGGCTACGACTACAAGCTGGGATCTCAGGTCTCCTACAGCTGTCACCACGGCTACACGACCGTGGGCGGGGATACCATCACCTGCGTCATGGGGCACGATGGGAAGCCGGTGTGGGACAGGGCGCTGCCGTCATGTAAAGGTAGGAGACGTACAATGGCATTTCTGTCAAAGCTGAGCGTTTAAGGGCGACCTGAATGGTTAAGCCGCATACAATTTAAATGCAATGCACTCAGTTTGGTTCCACATGGCGAGCTCACCTTTCCCCATCTCTACTCCCCTATTTCCAGTCCTGCTCTATAATGTCAGTTTTTCAGTCGAGGTAAATTACAAGTCATACCCAATACCTGTGGGGTTACCATGGAACTCCATTTAGGAAGCAGTATCATGCAAATTTGAAACTGATTTGTTGAAAACCTTCTTAAATGTGAGACTTGCTGGTCCAAGACCAACAATCGTGTGTGTGTGTGTGTCAGTGATTGTAGGCTGAGCTGTCTACTTGATTGACGGCTCAGAGAGGCAATGAAGTGACACCTGCCAAAGTGCCATCCACTGTATATCTGTGCTTTTGTGTGTATGCATGTGTGTGTGAGAGAGTGTGTGTTCTTTAAAGCGGCAGAGACCTGACCCAGTGCCATGTGGGTAAAAACACATTTTTAAAATTCAGATAATCCAGAACGTAAGGCAGCAGGACAAGGAAGGAATTTTAAAATGCACACATGGACAATGCATACTTACTTGAAAAAAAAACTTGGGGGGAAAAAAAAGGCTCCTGTGAAAGCTCTGTTTAATAATGTCTGAGAGACAGTGAGGAGGGTGGAGGTGGTGGTGGTGGTGGTGGGAGAGAATAAAGATGGGATAATTGCACTCAGAGTAGCTATTTTAGAACAGCAACGAATAACAGACAGCAAGGAAAAAAAAAAAAAGAACAGGACTCATCAATTCATTTTATCTCATGTTCTCATTCATCTAGTTTATTTCAAGATAATACGTCCACTTATCACATTTAAATACGTTGCACTCACTCAACCAATGTGGAACCTGGAAAGTTCTCTGCTGCACTCCAGCTGTTGTTTTGAAGACGCTGTAATTTAGCGCTCAGCAGCAGCACAGAACAACACAAGACGGATTCCCATCAAAGCGAAATAACATCACTCTGTCTTTTTTTAAAAAAACATTTTGTGAGCTGCATATGTAAAGATTTGCTTAAGTAACGGTAATGTTGCTTTTCTGTATGTCTTAAATACATCCGCACGTTGTTTTGGTGCACTTTATTCTGCAGTGTTTCCGATCACCTCATTGCTTGACCAGCTAGATAACAGGAAGTCAATCATGACATCAGTTAGCCAGCCTTTTAAGCCCTAACTTAACCTAAAATAGTAATGATTAATCAGCTACCTTTTCTAAATGGGTTTGGTTAAATTAGTTTTTGGTAGCTTATAATAACTTTTCTCTGTAAACTTGCTGTATGCTGATCAGGAAACAGAGGTGACTGATTATTTAGATGTCCCCCCCCACACAGTAATGTATTTATGGTTAGGAGCCAAATATTGGCATTTTAGTCACATTTGAAGGCTGTTAATGGAAGGCCACTTAATTGTCTTTTCTGAAATAAGAGCTGATCTGAAGCTCTGAAGGCCTCCCACTTTATCAGGCAATTGATTCATGTTTTTTTCACTCTTAATTGATTTTGATATGATTTTCGCATAATGTGTGTTTCTCTCAGGTTAAAAAAGAATACAAGGCCATTGTAATTCTAATACACAGACTATCATTACGCAATAAATGTGTTTTTTATACAATCGCTGCAAGTAAAGAGTCTACTATGCTCTTATACAGACTGGAAAACATGTTGAAAATCCCCTATTTCACTTCATACTCTTCTTTTTAGCTCTTGTTAAGTTTCAACAGTATCAGCCATGCACTTTGTCGGCGCGGTTGTTGTTTATTGGTTTCCTCACAGCGAGACCCAGATCTTGGGTTTTGTTCCTGCCCTTTCACTGATCCGAATACACGGAGCGATCTGCCGAGATTCCTGTCGCCGACGCTGCGAGACAATTCATACAGTCAAAGCAGAAGAATTTAACTGAATCCAGTCCGACCCAGTAATCTTGCTCTTTTATTCCCTCGACTCTTATTGCACATTGAATTTTCTCACCACATAGTTAGGGAAGTTTCTCTGTCTGTCTCTATCTTTGGGCAGCTCCTGGGGCTTTTAGACCAAACTCATTAGACAGGGTGAGACCTCTTTAAATAATACATCTCCACTTACACTCCCTCCGTCTCCTCTCTTCCTCCCTTTCATCCCACCTCGCACGTTCCCCTTTCTCCTCCTTCCTTTCCTTTCCCTTTTTCTCTGTCACTCCTCGCTCTCCTTTCTCTCTTCCTTTTTTCCCCCCTCTCCATCCTCTGCCTCTCTCTCTCTCTCTCTCTCTCTCTCTCTCTCTCTCTCTCTCTCTCTCTTATTTTACCCACCTCCTCTGTGTCTGATTTACTCTTTATTTTTCTCTCACCATTTCCTTCTGGCTCGCTCACCCCTTCTTGCTCTCTCTCTCTCTCCCTCTCTCTCTCCCTCACACACACACAAACACCTCCCATCTCAAACCGCTCTTTTATTGGTTTCCATGGTAACTAAGAGCTGGTGCGAGAAAGAAGGAATTCTCCGTGACTGTTGATAGGGTTGTGTGTGTGTGTGTGTGTAGGTGTGTGTGTTTGCGTGTGTGTGTGTGTGTGTGTGTGCGACAGAGAAAAAGAGAGAGGTAAAGTGAGAGAGAGACATAGCTATTATAGAGTGCCGCCTAGAGGCAGTATTCACACACACGCACACACACACACACACACACACGTACACACACTAAATACAGTGTGCCACTCGTGCTTATACAGTGCCGAGAAAAAGTAAGTGAACCCTTCAGATATGTTATTGCTATTGCAAGTTTGTATACGTTTCTCATAAGATGGGAGCAGACAAACACAATCCATTGTACCTAATAACAGACTAATGTGTATGTTGTTTTTGTCCATATACATAAATACAGTGCTGAAAACACTCATTAGACCACCACCCAGTGTAAGGCTTTGCTACAGCTGTCCTAACTTAGCAGCATTGGTAATTACCAAACTTAATTTTTAGTCTCTGTAATGGTTAATACACCACGATGTAGAAAGTCTTTAACCAAAATGATATTTTTAATGCTAAAATATCATTATTATTGCTATCCATGAATTTTTTAATTCACTGTTTTACAAAAAAACAAATGGAAAAAAACAATTATTACTTGGTTACGATGTCAAATTCTTGTTATTTACTTGCATTCCTGAACAGAATAATTAGTTTTAGTGGTTAAAAGTTATGCTTGATTAGTTTCTGACTCCTCAGAGAAGCCCAGTGAGTCGGCTCGAATTTGGGTATAAAAAAGAGAATTCAGTTTGAAATTCCTTATTCCTGTTCACAATGGTAAAACATCGAGAGCTGAGTGTGAATTGAAGCACTTCATGATGCTGGATGGTCTATATGTATTTATATACAGTGCTCAATAAACTAGACAGGTGGTCGTGTATGTTATTCAAGCTTTAATTGTAAGGTATTATCAACAGAGCTAGTTGGACTCATGAGTTAGAAAACCAGGATTTCATGGGAAGCTCTGCTGATGTGAACCTGTTTGTGGACTGATTAAACTGAGGTTGACTTGTTTGGACAAAGCATGCAGCGCTACATAATATGGTAGACAAAGCACGGTGGAGGAAGCATCATAATCTGAGGGCTGCTGTACTCCCTCTGGGCCCGGAAAGCTCACCATCACTGAGGGGAAAATGAACTGTCAGGTTTATCGAGGTATCTTAGAAGATAACGTCAGAGTGGCTGTTCACCAGCTGAAGCTCAGTGGACGCTGGTCAATGCAGCAGCACAATGACCCTAAACATGGAAGTAAATCGACTACAGACTGCCTTCAGACAAAGGAAATCTGTCCTTGGGAGTGACCCACTCAGAGCCCAGACCTTAACCCGACAGATATACTGTTGAATGACCTCCACAGAGAGCCATTGACACCATACATCGTAAGGATATGGCTGAGCTGAATCAGTTCTGTGAGAAAGAAATTCCTCTTGAATTGCAGGTCCAGAAACACAGTTTGAGGTCACTGCTGCCAAATGAGGTTTGACTGGTTTTTTAAACTAAGGCGTCTAATACGTTTCCCACCAGCACTCACCAGCACATAGTTTTCTTTACATGCAAACACACCGATGTTCACTTTTTACGTACTCTATATTTGTTTAAATATCAGTATATTCATTTTCTGAGTGTGTGTATGTGTGTGATTTTTATTACTCTTGTACAGCCGTGGAGCGCTGTCTCTGTTCTAATAATGAAGACCACAACAAAGTTTGTTTATTTTATTTATCAGCTGGGATTATATTATCGATTGACCAGACTGAAATCATTTTCTTCATTCTGAAATTGCTCTTTTGACCCGAGAGCCACGTAGCTTCGTAGGATGTGCATATTGAGGATTCTTATTGTTTCCGTTGTGTGCTGCAGTAGGCCAGCAAAGTTGGAAAATGTTTTCTTTTCCATCATCGCGTTCATGCAGTTTCACAACACTGACTCCATCAGCACAACAGTAGAGTCGTACTCACAGTTCTGCTTGAATTCCAGCTGCTGCGTGACTACCCGTAAACGTTTCCTGTGTTTTATCACAAGTGCGCTTTTGTTTAACTGCACATAACACACAATGTACACATGCACAGGCGACATGATGATGGATGACGCACTCCCACCAATGGTGCTATACCAACGCACTGATAAGGTGGTGGTAACTTGCCAAGATGTGCATTAGTACGCAACCAAAGGCAGCGAGGAATAACACCGCAAGCCAGTAAACATGGCTGTTAACAAGGATGAGCTAAAAACACAAATCTGCTTTCCAAATGACTTATAAAGAAGGAAAGGCCGACATGTTTGTTGGACCCCAAGGATACCCACGATGCTCTTTGGTGGGCAACATAGAGTGTAAACATAATTTTTTATGTGTTTACAAGAAAACCCTATAGGGCTCCTTTAATGACACTCAGCACCTCCTGTACATTCATGGAACATTTAAAGCCCTCTTGTGGCAAAATCCCAACATTCCTGGTTGGTTT